TCTCTCTATCTCTCATTTTATTTCTCATACCATCTCTCACGCTCTTTCTTTCTTTCTCTCTATCTTGATTTTTCTCTTAATTTATTATTATTTTTTTTTTGGTCGAGTATTTCTTTCTCATTTTCTCTTACCGGTTTTACGTATCCGTCTTTCTTTTATTTTTTATCCGTAGGTTGTTGATTTTTTTTAATTTTATTTTTTTGGAGGATATTTCTTTCTTGTTCTTTCTCTCTTACCGGTTTTTACATATCGCTGTCTCTTTCTTTTTTTTAATTTTTTGTTTTTCTTGATCTTTTTTTAAACATTTTGTTCTAAGGATATTTTTTTCTCTTTCTTTTTTACTGGTTTTTCATAACTGTCTCTTTCTCGCTCAAGCAATGTTTATATCCACATCCTTCTCGCACCTCTTCTCTTCTCTTCTCTTCTCTTATTTCTCTCTCTTTTTCCTTTTCTTCAACTCTTCCTCATTCTCCTCCTCTTTTCGTTCGCACACTCGTCAGACCGGCTGCTTAATTTACGACCAATTAATTTGGATAAACTGAATGAGGGGAGGCCTGCTTTTGATGCACGCGTTAACCGACCATCTTTTCCCATATCTTCCTCTCTCTCTCTCTCTTTTTTTTTTTTTAACTTTCTGTCCTCCCAAACAGGAGCTTCTCTTCTCGGTCAGGTTAAATTCGTTTCTTCTTACACACGGTTGATCAAATTCTCTTCTGACATGGACGACGAGTGTTAAGAATAAGCGAAAAAAAATAAAAAAAATAAAAATAACATCATAGAAAGAACAATTGAACGAATTCATTTAACGAAGACATTAACGATTTCATTTTGATAATATTGGGTTGTTTGGAAAGTAAAACCTTCACTTCAAATGAGGAGGTCAAAAACTACCTCGATCAGTTTTTCGCCAGCAAAGACCAAAAATTTTATGGGTGTGGAATCATGCTACTATCAGAAAGATGGCAAAAGATATTGGACTAGAATGGCCAATATATAATTTAATAAAATATTTGTTTATTATACGAAAATTGTCTTTCATTTTCACAAAAAAAAACGAAATTACTTTTCGAATAACTCAATAAATAAAAAATAAAAATAAAATAGAATTCATATATATATTATATATATATATATATATATATAAAAGAAGTATACTGTTCGATAATGATATAATGTGACAACGATACAAATATTTTTTATAAAATAAAATCAAAATAAAAATCATTTCTCTCTCTCTCTCTCTCTCTGCAATCAAAAAGTCACGATCGTTTCTCTTTGAGTTACGATAAAATCTCACATCAGCGAGTTTCCGATCGAGGTCTTCGAAGGGATTGGAATCATGAAGAGTGGGAAAGGTGGTGGGGAGGGGGGGATTAGATGGATCAAAAGAGGAGAGAAAGGAATAGAAGTAGAAGAAGAAGAAGAAGTGGAGGAGGAAGAGGAACAGGAAGAAGACGAGTAGTCACAGCAATGGCGAAGTTAAGACGGACTATCGTGAAAGTAGCAACAGCAACAACAACAGCAACAGCAACAGCAACAGCAGAAGCAGAAGCAGTAGCAGTAGCAGAAGCAGCAGAAGCAAAAGTAGTAGCAGACGGCGTTCGTATGTCTTTGAGAGAACGAGTGAAGGGTGAGGGGGGGGGCTGTTTGGTATTCCGTTTGCGTCCGAGGGCATAATTGGCCGCCAACTGGCGACGACTACGACGCTCCTCCGGGTATCGCCAAGACAAGAAATTATTCTTTAATTAATTGTCAGTGGTCTCAATGTGACCACATGCGTAGGATCACTCGGAGGATCCTACATACATAAATTTCGATCTATATGGAAAAGATATATAGTATAGGATAGGATTTGATAGGATTCGATACGTTGGATTGGAGGATAGTTTCTATGTGGTGACTCTCTTTCTCTCTCTCTTTTATACTACAGTTTGTATATATATATATAACTCGTTATTCCATCTTATTTTATTACAGTTAGTATTTCTAAGGAGAGAAAAGAAGAAAGTGTGAGGGTGTGTGCGATGTTTTACTTTAAAAGCTTAGCTAACTACTTATATGTCCTTTGTTGTTACTTGATCTATCTTAGCAAATACCTTTTACCTGGCGCCCTGTCTCTTTGTAAATCCTTTAAAGGTTAATTTCTTTCTCCTTTTTTCACATCTTGCTCATTAAGCTAGGAAATCATCTTCTTGGATATCCAAGAAAAATGTTCATTAATTTTGTACTTTCATTAGAAATATTATATATTATATCTTCTTCTTCTTCTTCTTTCTAGTTTTAGTTTTCATTATTTCTTATTTACTTATTTCAAATGATATATACTCAACTGGCTAATTATTGGTTGAGTATATATCCTTGGGTCTTACGTTCTACCGTCTTGTTATTACCTGTAGATATATTAGCGGAGAAGAACAATTAGGCTACCGGTCTTCGACGAGAGAGAGGACAGTTACGAGCCGCGGATGAGAGATTCAAAGAGGCCGGCGAATCTCTTTGATCGTTTCTACCCATGAAACAACGGATCTCTCTCTCTCTCTCTCTCTCTCTATCTCTACCTTCTCAGCTTAGACCTTTTGCAGATAGGAAAGGTGAGTCTGCGTGAACACGCGTGTGGGTCGCATAGGCGTCTTTCTTTCTTTTTTTTCTTATTAATTATTTCTTACCTTAGGACACATTTTTTTCCTTTTTCAATCATGAATCATCTCGGCTTACGTACATCGTAATTATATTATAATTAAATAATTAATCAGAAACAACATTGGGTTAGGATTTATAAAAATATCACGAGAAGAAAATAAATTCCCGAATAAAATATAAATAATATTTGTGTGTATAATAATAAGTTTCGTTCGATTAAAACTAATGAGAAAATTTGTTTCGTCGTATTTTTAATAAAAATTCGACCGAATTTGACGCCACTGAATTCTGACGATTCCTTTCGACGAAAAGACAGGTGCACACAAGATGAGAGTACGAAACGTACGACGATGATAACGATGAAACGAAGGAACGCGTTGGCGAAATTATATATTTGTGTATACGTGTATATGTGTTTATGTTTATATATATACGTATACACAGATAAAAAAGGGATATATCCCTAGTATATATATATATTTTATAATTAGCCGGCGGTTGCCGTCGATAAATCAGCGCGCCGCCCGGCTTTAGGACTTAATTAAAAAATTTAGTCAAAAACCAATTAGCGGCCACGGCGAATTAACATATTTCTAATTATCTACCGGACACTTTCGGCTGCCTTATACCAGCCACAAACCTCTCTCTCTCTCCCTCTCTCTCTCTCTCTCTCTCTTTTTGTTATTTTTTATTTTCTTTGTTTTTTTTTCATTGAGAAACCTGTAATATAAGCCCAGTGAATTTTTCTCTTCTTCTTTCTCTTTCCAGTCGTTTTATTTCTCTCTCGTTTTACCAATCTTCCACACCACAACCCTCGATGACGTTGCGATACGGTCATTGTTAACGCGTTTCTTAAAACGTCATCAACCTACCCGTCGTCGTTTGCCAACAGACACTCCATTTTCTTTTATAATTCTTGTTTTTTCTTTTTTCAAATTGACCGAACATCTTAATTACCCAGTTGCAATACTTCAACGATCACCTCTAACGTGAACTCGATTTAAATTATGATCTGTTAGTTGGAGGAATTATTATTGATCTTATATACATATATATATGTTATATGTGTTCAACATAGAACAACTTTTATACATAGTATAATATATTTGGATAGATTGAATAATTTCAAATCAGATTTGTTTGTTTTTTATTTTCTCACTATATAATATGTATGTGTGTGTGTATGTGTTTATTTCTTGTGGATAAATTATATCATGTTACATTTATACAGAGCAAAACTTTTGCTATCGTTTCTTTAAATTCACGTCGCGCGATTTACTTTATTTTTTTCTCTTGGATTTTTCTTTAAACCTAAAAATTCATTCTCAGTTTTTTCCTTTCCTTTTCTTTTTACTACCAAAGGATCTCTCAATGTGATGATGATCGTACACGTAGATATTACATAATTTACATGTGTTTATTTCCCAATTACCACTTTTCTCTCTCTCTCTCTCTCTCTCTCTCTCTCTCTCTCTCTCTCTCATACTTAAACAAAGAGACAAACGAAAGAGGACACACATAAATCGTACACATCTTTCTCTCACTGGGATTATATATTTATTTATTTACAAACGCGAAAAATGATTCTTTAGATTTGTTCTCTTTCGTTTTTCATCGTATTAGAAGAACCAATCACACGTTTCTTCGTAATAAAAGTGATTCTTCAATATTTTGTTTCTTTTACACATTATTTACACTCGACAAATAACGCACTTTTAATTAAACGTAAATGATTTTCAGGGTTTTCTTCCGAACTATCGTTATTACAAGTTCACAGGTCAGTTATGTTTTTCTTTATTATTTCGCTTTTTTTTTCTATTCGTAAAAATTCGATTTCTCTAAATACATAAATAAATATGCATCAAAATGAAAACGAATATTTCGTTTTTTTTTTGTTTATATTTTGACTTTTTCTTTTGATTTAGATTAATCGCGATTACCTTTTTGAAATTGCATCGAAATCGTACGAATTTATACACTGGTTTATATACATAAATACACTCGCATACATACATACGTACACATTCATCGTACATTCCTAGCGATTATCGATCGAACGAACAATTTTATTTACAATTATGTGCATGATTTTCACTCGTTCGTTTTCTATTTTCATATTGTTTTTCATTATTTTCCTCACTCTCCCGTTTCTCCTTCATTTCTTATCCCTTTATTTTTCATTCTAATGTAAGACCACCATCGAAAATGCCACGAATAAATGCTAAGAGAAACACGCGTTCACAGTCGATCACAATTTTCTCGTCGAACACAAATAAATGTCAAGTAATTTAAATCCACGGCGATTGGGGGGTTAGTGGGTGGGATGGGTGGGGGTGGTTAAAATGGTTCATCACCGAGGAGGCACAAAAGGCGATGATACTTTTCTTCGATTAAATATATATACATATGTAAAGAAAAGATAGTAATAGTAGTAAGGATCAAAAGATTATATCTGTTCCTTGGTATTGGCCAATCGCATGCCCTACACGGTGCAAATTTATTTCGTAACGCGTAATTGGATTTCACGCGTTTGGTTCTTCTATTTTCAGATTTGGTAGGAACTTTGCTCTCAGATTGGAGTCCAACAGGTTTTTAGAACGATGATGTTACTCGATCTTCTTGAAAATGCAATTGAAAATATTTTTCACGAAATTTTAATGTTAAATGACAAATTATTGTTCGATGTCTATCGAGAAATTATAAAATACGATTAAAAATGAAAAAGGAAAAACAATGCGAAAAAAATAAATTGGAGCATGGATGAAAAAGAAGAAATAGAGGGCAATTGGAAACGGTGAGTTGGATTGAAAAACAAAAAAAAAAGAAAAAAAAGTAGAGACCTATCTTGAAGATACGCAACAAATATCCTCTTCTCAAGGAGAGTTCGTTGAAGCAACTAAAACTGTTAGCTGACTCGTCGTTGGCCAAGCAAGAGAGACGACGAAGGTCGAACGAGTCCGCCTTATTAAGGCCTGTGTCCAGGGGGCCCCATGAACATGGCTGCCGCGGCAGCAGCATGGGTGTGCCTAGCCATGGCCGCTGCGATAAAGGGTGGCACTCCTGGTGTACCAGGAGGACCAACGCCCGAGAACATCAGGCCCGAACCGAAACTTGGGTGCAATAAGGGCCTTGCCGATAGTCGTAGCTTCTCAATTTCAGCCTCTTGCAATCTCTTCGCTTTCGCTCGTCTGTTTTGAAACCAGATCTTCACCTGGAAAATATACAAGCAGAAAGGGCCCGGTCAAACGGGTACTAGTCTCTGACGTTTTCATTCATTTTAGTTTATTTTCTCTTTTTTTGTTTTCTTTCTTCATTTTATTAGAAATATTTTTGAATAAGGGGGAGGGGGTTGGAAGTGTATTCGAATTTGTTTTATTTAAATATTTAAAATTAGGACGATATCGTGCGAGTAGTTTTCATTAATTTTAAGTAATATTTTTCTATTTCTATTCGTTTATTTTTGATATACATTTTTTCATTATCAATAAACAAATTTGAAATTATTTTATTCAATGCAACAATTTTTTATTTTTTTTTGATACAGCACTCAGGCATTAATTTGCGATGCAAAGTTATTCTAAGAATAATTATATCGTACTAATTGAACGTAACATATTTTTATTTTCTATATAGTGTTTAAAGGATTTGAAATAATTGACAACAACAACAACAACAACAACAACAATAAAAATTTGTAAAATTATCTTTCTTTATGACGTCTTAGGTCGGATTTGTATGGAAGAGTATGAACGTGGTTGAGTAGGTATCTGGTATGATTATGGTTAGCGCGTTAACGAATAACGTCTACCTGGTTGTTAACACGCTGTTAACACGACGATGAGGCGTACGAGAGCGACCTAAGCCAAATATGAGAGAACGCGTACGATCGCGTGCGATTTTGCTGCGGGTGTTATATAGCTCGTAATTAGTAGTTTCAAATAGGTGAAAGTAACGAACGGATTAGGTATCGTAGAAACTGTCTGGACTGGCTGTCTATGTATATACATATACGTATCTGTCTGTTTGTTTATCTGTTCTGTGTGCATGTGTGTGTAAGAAAATGGTTAAGTCGGCCGTGAGTTGGAAAGGCTCTCGTGAACGCAACGACGTGTCAAATTTACTTTAAAGTTTATAAAAAAAAAAAAAAAAAATTATAAATAATTTTCGGTAGTTCGTAGCTACGTTTACCCAAGAGTATTTTCTTTTCTAATTGCTAATCAATACGTTCTATTCATAGATTGATTCTTGCCAACAGATATTGTGTATTTTAACAGAAAAAAATTAAGTAAAAAAAAAAGAAACAGGTGTTTAAATATCATTGAATTTGATTAAAAGATAATCAAGAACAAATAAAGTGATTCTAATGAAATAATATTATTAACAGAAAATAGATAATTTTAAATTATTTTATTTTGTAATTGCTACATTTGATACGTTATTCACCGATTGATTTTTCTACTAAGTAATGTAATTAATTTAAAAAAGATATACATGTGTTAAGAATAAAAATAATTATTATTCAACAAAAAATAATACTATACAAACAAAAGATATGATCCAAAATTGAATTTGATCATAAACTTGAGAAATTAATTCTTCAATATTTTTAATTATTTATTTATTTTTCTTGTTAATTAAAATCTTGTTCGGTTTAAGATATTGTAAATTAACAGAATAACATTCGTGCAACTTAAATGGTCAACCCGTTCTTTTTTCTGAAGAATGTAAGGTAAAAAAAAAAATATTGTCCATTATGTTCACCATACATACTAAACACATAATATACATAGAATACGTACAAAATGTGTGTGCGTGAGTGTACGTTTGTATACGTAGGGAAGTGTGCAAAAGGGAATTTCTTGAATGTAAGAGAGAGAGAAAGAGAGAATTTAAGTGATGATCGTTGCTTATCTAAGCAAATGAATGCGACGAAGCTTCATTTCGTCTGATTCATTGTAATGAATGCGCAAAGTGTATCTTAACACGCTAGCCATGCGATAACGTTCATACGACTATGGTTCTTTCTGTCTCTCTCGCTCTCTCTCTTCTGGACGCTTAACACGAGTCATAAGGAAAGGCAAACACACTACCTGAAATAAATACGCTGATGGCTTCTCTCTTTCTTTCTTTCTTTTTTTATTTCTTTTTTTTTTCTTTTCGATCCCTTGAAGGTAAAGGAAACGTGAAAAAAAATGAATGAAGGGGAAAAAAAATAATATAATATATATAATGAAGGATAAATAAAAAGGAACGTGTAGGTATACTACGAAGAAGGGAAGAAACCTTACAAGGTGCCTTATTTATCTTCTTTGCAGATCCTTTCGATAATAATTATGATAATTTTGTAACATCGTGTTTTGATCCATCCATCACACACGTTCCACCTATTTAAAAAACTAATTTTTTATTGCTCCTATCTCTTTCACATCGCATTTATTTATTATCAATTAATAATAATTGCACGTTTCTTATTGTTCACATTTGTTTGTATTTTCTTCTTGTCCTTTATCGGACTTAAAATTAATTATTCTTTTATAAACGTTAAATCGAATTTTTTTGACTGATCAAATATTACTTGGCTTCCGTTCGTTCATTATTATCATTACTATCGCGATAATTATTCTAATGGATTCAGAATCGATAAAATGAGTTGTCCTTATTCAATAACTCTACTTCATATTCTAAACTGATAGTTTATATGTATGTATAGACATATATTATATTTGATTATGTGAGTATATGTATGTTTATATTATTAACATATGAAAAGGTTTATACGTATAACGTGTGGTCGTACTAGTTAAAATAATTTATGCATCGCATTTATCTTGTTCAGGTTCAAGTACATACACCAGATAACATCAATGATACTTATATACATTAAACACATACACACATACCTATATAAATAAGAATAATATTCATGATAGTATATTGTAATCTAAGTAACTACTATTATGTTGATCATATCCTTTGAGGAGTCTCTCTCACCTGCGTTTCCGTGAGATGAAGGGACGAAGAGAATTCCGCGCGTTCTGCTATCGTCAAGTATTGCTTCTCTCGAAATTTTTTCTCCAAAGACAACAGCTGCTGCGTCGTGAACGGTGTCCTTGGTTTTCTATTTGGTTTATGCTTCCGTAGGGTGCAACGTACTGGACCTGGTCCTGGACCTGGTAATCTTAAATCACCTGCATAATCAAATGAAATTTAACATTAATTCAATTTTAATTAAAATTGTATACTATAATTAGAAATTTGTTACAATAAAATAACACCTATTATTTTTATGATGGGATATTTTTTATTGTAAATTATCATTTATTATTTGGAATTAAGTATTTTATTATTTCTAGATGTCGTGAAACAATACGTGGTTATTATAGATTAATTAAAAGTGCGTTTTAGCAATAATTTAAAGAAATAACATATTATAATATTAGTAAATATTTATAAATAACTGTTATATTATTTTACAACAAACACCTAAATGATTGGATAAATCAACCTAATAATACTATAAATATAACATATCTATAGTATTATTGCAAAATTGATAGTATTATTATTTAATATACGTAGTATTAATATAACTAATATATTAATACTATATATTTAATATATTTATATAATAAATATATAATATAATAATATAATTAATATATAATTAATATATAATATATATTAATACTATATAACTATACAGTATTATTAACATATTTATAGTAGTTATATATTTGATTAACGTCACAGAAAAAAAATAAATAAAAGAAAAATTCAAGTTTGACGAGTTGAAAGATTTTAGCCAAATTCAAGTAACTAAAGTTAGAAGTAAATTGAATAGTCTTTCGTATAGAAAAATATTTGATCGAATTTTTGAATGATTTCGAAATAGGATTCCTTGGGTTCTTATTAGGGAATCGGAAACTAAAAAGCTTTTTTCGTGTAATATTGTTCGACGAAGCGATGACGATTTCGTGGCAAACGAAGGGGGACAAGCGTGGATTCCGAGCGCTAATTAACGATCGACGATCGACAAAAAAGGAAAGAGGCCTGAGTCGGCATTGTCGAGCGGACCTGTCGCGACATCGGGTATTACGTCTTCCATTCTCGTGCTAGCATCTCTTCCCCCATTTCGTGTATACCGAACGTGCTTGGTTAACCTCTCTTTTTCTTTTATCTCTTTCTCTTTTACTATATCTCTCTCTCTTTCTTTCTCTCCTCTCTCTTTCAAGACTCGGTTATTCCGTGCACATAACCGATCAATATGTTTCTACGGGACGCTAATTAATTTCTGCTAATTAAATGTTGAACGGCCTCTAGAAGGAAATTTATCTTTGGCTCTTATCGATGACGACAACGGACAACTACGACGACGACGACGACAACTACGACGACAAAGATTTGCTAGTTGATTGTCTGACACTGTACGAAATACGAAATGCAAATAATCACCAATATCGAAATGAAGAAATAATGAGAAATATACTCGATCATATTTGAGTAATAATTTTGTGTGTGTTTTCTTTTTATAGAAACATTTAAACAATCGTGAAAATTATTAAAATGTAATAATGAGTTTAGAATGTTTTTTTAAAGATACTAATAATATGGTAAACATTAATAATTGGTCGATTATTTGACACTGTACGAATTACGAAATTCAAATAATCACAAATTTTAAAATGAAGAAATAATGACAAATAAATTGAACTATATAAGATTCGTAATATTGTTATTATGTTTTTATAAAAAAATTTACATTTAAATTTATTCCAATATTTAAAGTTGCAAATAATCTTGTTAGTAATAAAAAAAAAACAATATGAACATAACATTTATAAATAATTTTGATACATCGATGCATGACTATAAAATCAAATTAAAAATAAATAAAAACGAAAAAAAAGATCGAACAAAAGTTTGATAAAAATTGTCCAAAAATTGTCGAATTGTTCGAGATCGTAAAAATCACTTTATATTCGTGAATAATAATACGATGTTTTTTTTTTTTTTTATAGAATACAAATTAAAGATCGATTCATTTTATCTCACAGTTGTTCAGAAATTATTTTGGAAAAGGATATCGTTTGATAGAAGACAACGTTATTCTATTCCCTTTTCCATGGTACCAACAACAAAAAATAAAATAAAAAAAATAAAAAAGAAAGGTCGTGTGAAATACGAATGGAACGTGTCATTAAGCTCTTCTTTATTTTCCTACTTCTTCACTTCTTCGTTTTCGCTTTTCTTTTTTCTTTTCGCGAGATATCGCGAGGCCATTTCGCGTATCGTAACCAGTTCGCCATATTCGCGCGGTGGAGGTGGCAGTAGAAATGTTCAAGAAAGACAGAGAGATAGAAAGATCTGAGTATATATGTGTCTGTGTATATGTATATATAAGAGAAAGAGAGAGAGAGAGAGAGAGAGAGAGAGAGAGAGAGAGAGAGAGAGAGAGAGAGAGAACGATCAAATCAATATGTTTCTTGCGGACACTAATTAATTTCTGCTAATTAAACGTTCGAACGTCTTATGAGCGGTGTATATCTACTCCTTCCCCGCCTCTCTCTCTCTATCTTTCACTCTTTATATCTTTTTCTATCTCTTTCTCTTTTACACTTTCTTTTTCTTTCAATTTTTTTCTTTTTTTTTTCGTCTCTCTTTATGAGAATCTCGATTCGAACCGGCTTACCAATAAACACTAGAAGAGAAAACGATTCTATTTCGTTCTTTCTTCTTTTTTTTTTTTACAGATTATCCTTTGGTTTATATATATAAGATTGTCGTATTAGAAAATCGTTATAATACTATATTATGTAATCGTTCCTCTCGTTTAATCGTTAACTCTCACGCGGAATTAAATGTGCTATCTATATATATATATATATATATGATAGTAACATGGTTAATTTTATTTCTGTTTTATTTTTCTTATTTTATTACTGTTTATTTTTATGGGTCTATTTAATACGTATGTTTATTCGATAAGTTGCATATATTTAAATTACGGAATAATATATAATATATATAGTATATTCTTTTAATTTTATTTCTATATAATAAATTATGTTTTTATTTATAATATTGTATATTGCATTTATTAGTAGTATATTTAGTTTTTATTCGTAATCAGGTTTTATTCGTGTACATTTATTTGTTAAGTATGATATATTAGATAAGGTATAACATAACATACATTTTATATGTTAAGATTTTTAATGAAATTTACGTAATTTATTAGTAAATGTATTTTAAAAGATGTTTATATGTGCCTATGCATGCATAAAATATTTTTTTATTTTTCATTGCCACGTGGAATCAGTATTTTGACTGGTGTACGTTTTACGCTCGATCAAACAAATATTTCATTCGATTCTTATAATGATGGTAATTATGATAAAAAAATCGTATATTTAAAACGGTAGAGACGCTGATTAATTATAATTAAGTTCATTCTTTTTACTCGGGAATATAAAATTCTTTCGCTTGATATATATTTTTGAAATAAAAAATTACTCGATTTTATACGTTAAATAATAACATTCTTAATAACTTTTTTTCAATAATCGAATATATTTGTATAATTATGTAAATTTTGGAATCAGACTAGCAATTTTTCATGAATGTAATCGAACGATCGTATTTAATTATGAGTGAAATTTTTGCATGAAGTGTTTACCGATGACGATTATTCATTCTTGTTGTTTTCCTTTTTTTTTTTTTTTTACGAATATTCATTGATTAATTATGTTAAATACAGACGGTAGAAAATATATAAATTCAAATTTTTATTTGTAGAATTATTAATCAAATTTTAAAATCAATGTTAAATTTTTTACCAAAATAAGCGAACACATAACCAAATTATTATTTACTGAAGACAGTAATGAATTAAAAACTAATCAATAATTAAATTTTTGAAAAAAATGAAATAATATATTAGAACTCAATAATTAGGATATTATTTTAAACGTGTTTCAGTATATGAAGGGTGATTTCATCCCTTAAATGTGATCCCGTGTGATCCCTTAAAAATATATTTCTCTGTTAAAGAAAAAAAACAAATAAATATTTATGAACATTGAATTTTGATGTAATTAAAGAAAATATCGATAAATCGAAGATAGAATGAAGAAGGGAATTTTCCTTTCTTTGTGTTAAACGACGAGTAGTGACGACGCCGACGAACGCATAATCGTGTCTTTGCACTCAAGATGTTTCTAGACTAAAAATTCCAAGTACGAATAATGTTCGCCGACGCATATACATTTATCTTTTTTCTTTTCTTTATTTCTTTTTCGACTTACCTATCTCCCTTGAACGCTAATGAATTTCTGTTAATTACCGGACAGGAGAACGCACCAAGAAAACGATTACGTAGTCTCTACTCGCGAAGTTCAAAGCTCTTTCTATATGTCAGTGTTAAATTAATACAGGTGTATTTAATCATAATGTCAATGATTATTCTAATAGGATTCAACTTGTTAAGGTTGTAATTTTTTTTCTTTTTTTAATTCAAATTTATTTCTATTTTAATATTAAAATAGTTGAAACGAATGTTTTGTTCTAATTGTGTGCCATTTAGCAAATTTCCATAGTTCAAATTACGATTATTCGTGACCGATTTTTGATGATTGTATTTACTCCAGATAAAAAAAGATTCATTTTTTATTTAATCTCGAAGAAAATAATTATCCTTTATTAAAGTGGAAAAAAAATCTTATAAATTTTATATAAATTTTAAAAAAATAATTATACTTTTGTTAATAGTGCTTTTTAATACACAAAGTAATAGAGAGAGAGAGATTGAGAGAAAGATAGCAATATTAAATAATAATATTCAAGAGTACTCTTAAAGTAATACATTTTTAATATATAATTTGGTTAACTGATATTGGATGATCTTTAATCGTTTGTTCCCACGTTTCAAAGAAAAACATTTGAAAAATGTAGAAACGTAGAAATGAGTGTTCAAAAAGAGAAAAATAAATACAGAAAGAGAGTAAACATTAACAATGTCTGTCGCGAGACTAATTAACTTATTAACGAACATCTTTTTTGCAGTGATCAATAGTACACATCACACATACATATATACATATAAGTATTTGTACACTAATACAATGATTGTGAGCATCGATTTTTTTATTTTTTTAGTGTTAATCTTTCTTTCTCTCTCTTTTGTATTTTT